AATCAACAAAACGAGAACACCTCGGTCCACCTTACAAGAAAAGATTCATCGCAGGCTTTATTTCCTCATTATGCATCATCATTAAGTCTCAGCTGGAGGCCTATTAGAAAAAAAACAAATATATGGGGGGCGGGGGACTGTACCATTCAATTCTTCAATATTAAATAAGATGGATTCAAGTCTCATTGCGGTGTCCCGTACAGTGAACGTACATTGCGGCGGGCGGCGCTCGGGCCACGCTTACATGAAGTCTCTGGGCTGGTTTGCGAGCAAAGTCAGCGATGCGTTTCATCCGAAGGCGAGAAATGTGAGTAGAGGTGGCTGTTCATTTGCTCCTGAGGAACCACGGCGTGGCAGAAGGCACATTTATCCGGGACGCTGCGCTGAGCCGTCGCCATCTCTGCCGCCACGTCGGCGTCCTCGCACAGCTCGGGGCTCCACAGGGACTGAAGCGAAGGAAGCCAGCGTTTTATTCACGGGCAAAAACAAGACGGCGTGTACGCTCGGTGAGAGCGGAGAGGCTCGCGTTTGACGGAAGAAGGTCAAAACGCGACCCTCGTGCGTCTGGCGACGTTACTTTTACAACTGCCGTGGCAGTTGCGGATATGTGTCGCAATTAAAAAAGGTACGCGTTGTGATCATCACGCGTTGTTTCATCAGATTCTGACAGCGAGCGGCGCTTACATCTGGCTCGCACCTTCCGGCAAACACGCAAGCAGACGCAAGTGCAGAGTTGAAACAGAAAAATAAGGGATTAGCACCCATTACGCGGTAATGTGTTTCAAGTTGCGCCGCGGCGCTTATTTTGGACTTTTCACACACTCGCGCTCTTCCATTAGCGAAGAGCAAGCGGAAACCGATAATTTGCTACTACTTTTCTCAGACCTGCTTCTCACCTGCTGGGGGCCCCGAACGTCCTCCTGGGAGAGCGAGGAGGACGTCGTGTGGGAGGCGAACGTCGGGATGACAAAAGGCACGGACAGTTCCGAGGGCTCCTCCTCCTCCTCCTCCCCCTCCTGCTCCCCCTCCCGCTCCTCGTTGCTGGTCGCCGCGGGGATGCCGCTGAGGGGCCGCTTCACGGGCACGGTCAGAGCAACGTGCCTCTCCGGAGCGCTGTTCAGGAAGTCGTATTCGCTGTCCACGGGAGGCGGGAATTTCACGCTGAACTTGGAGAGCGAGTCTATAAAGTCCCTGTCGTCGGGGCTGGCGCCGCGCGACGCCAGCAAGGTGGGCACCAGCGGGATGTGCGGCGTCGACCTCGACGCCAGGAAGAAGGGTGCTTCGGGTTCTGCCGCGCGGTCTGTGCACTGGATGGGCATGGAGAACTGCTGATCTGTCGCACAGCACATCCAGCATTTGATTTCCAAGACGTTGTTTTTTTT